CAGGGATGGCTCAGGGGGAGCAGAGCTCCTGCCAAGGGCTGGCTGGGCTGGCAGGGGCAAACTCCTGCTTGTGCTGTCACACAGAGACTTCCTGACAAAACCTTGGCTCAGGGAAGCAGCCTAATCTAATTGATAACTGTCTTGCTTTTGCTTTGCCAGAGGGAAAAAGCAGAGGAGAAGCAATTTAATTCTGCTGGGCACACAGGCACTCCCAAGCTCCTGTTTGGGATCCCGCCACCTTCACCAGTGAAATTTGTTACTTGGTTTGCCCAGGTGTCATCACTGAGCCGTCCCTTGAGAGATTCTGCACACAGGGATGGTGAAAAGAGGTCTAAACACCATTATTGAGGGAAGGGATATCAGCCATAACATCCATCCTTTTTACAAGCAAGGGGTCGGACTGCTGGGGGATGAAGAGCCTTTCCCGGGGGAATTTTGTGGCACACAGGCACCAGAGCTGAATCTCCTCATTCCAGGTACAAACCTTCACTGGCACAGATGCTACAGCCTGAGCAGACTTTGCACTGACTTAAAATATTGGCCATTACCTCACCAGCAGAGAAATAAATGTCTCTAATTTTCTGGATACAAATTGGAATTTTCAAATTGGCATCTGCATCTCCCAAATAAAACAAGGAAAATTGCCCATTAAATCAAACAGCAATGAAGTGAGGACTCAGCCACAGAACCTGCCTCGGGAACACAAAACTACCCAGCTCCATTAATGTAATGATGCATTTTGATGAGGAAGTCACTTGGGGCATGTTAGCATGAAAACTGCAGGGATGAGATCCTCCAAGGCTGGTGGTGCAGCACTTCACTTGGCTCATGCCAAGCATAACCTGACCTAAGATTTAGAGCCACCACTTAGTGACAAATTAAAGAGACAAAGACCAGATGTCAGGTCACAGGCAAAGAAGTTGCAAAACTCCAAAAAAAACTGAAAGCAGAAACTTAAAAGAATTTGCCCCTGTTGTCAAAATCCTCTTTTCTTGGTTATGCAACATCCAAAATATCTTTGATTAGAAATAGGAGATGCTAAAATTTTATAGAGAAGTTGCTGGATTCTTCTGCACAAGGAGCTTTTCTAAACATTCTCATCCATCAAAATGATTTTTTGCCGATAATTAGCCTCAGAAAAATGCACTTAATCAAAGTGACATCCATTGCTTCTCCCTGCTGTAAATAGGACTGTGGCTTCTGACGATGCTTTTCTGGAAAGTGTTCAGACTATTCAAATTAGGCAACAAATAAGCTCCTAATGACACTTTTCTGAGATACAGTTTAATTTTATTTATGGGCTTTTTTTTAATACATGCCCCAACCCATCTGTCAGCACTGTCCAAGAAAAGAGAATGCAGATGAAAAACTGCCACAGTCAGGACAGCAAACATCAAAGGGATGCCACAGCTTGGGGTATGGAACAATATTTATCCATCCAGCAGATGTGCTTTCTCAGCTGCCTTTAATCAGCACTTGCAGCATCACTTTGGAACGGGAGCCTCGCTGGCAGCCCCGGCCCCAGGGATGCTGTGCTGGGCTCCTGCTCCCTTCCAGCACCCCTGGGTGCTCTGCTCCCACAGCTGCCTGGCACTGGGGATTCCCACGCCCAGAGGAGCCCCGTGCCAGGAAGGTGAAAACCCAGCAGGGTTTGTGCCCCAGCTCTTTGTTACAGGCTCAGCAGCTCAACTCTGCCTTTGCTGGTGCATCCCAGAGGTGCTTCCATGTCCACAAAGCATCAGTGAGGTAAGGAAGGCAGCACTGCCAGGAGCAAGCAGAACAAATCCATTTTTCTCCCAGTTTTGACACTGACAGCACCTTCCAAATGGGAAAGAAACTTCTGAACTAGGCAGGACTAACGCCAGACAGTGGAGGCAGCTGCAAGGCTCCAAAGAGAACCTTCCCTCCCAGACAGGAATCACCTCCCAGGCCCCAGCAGCCGGGTCCTTGCCCGGAGAGCTTTTGTAGCCTCTGGGAATTCAGAGCTGAACGACACCAAATCCTGCTTGTCCACCCAGAGACCTGCCTGGCAGAAATGTCAAGGCCAGAATTCGAACACAGCTGAGCCCAAAACCTTCCACCATCACGTGGCAGGGAGCTCCGAAATCAGAAAGATGATCCTGGAAGGAGCACTTGGACTTGACAAGTCTAGATTTGCTTGTCATTAGGCTTTTCTCTCTCTGTCTCACAAATCCATTTTCCTCCCACATTCCCTTCCCAGCCAGCCGTTTCCTATTTGCTTGCTGGCCAATTTATTGCATCCACCACAGGATGTTCAAAGTGTTTTTTAATTCTCCTGTCAATCAGTCCACCTGCCAAAGAGCAAGCCCTGCTCGGATCGACTGCGGTCATCTTTCACACTACAAAAACACAAGTAAATTAGGAGCAGTCTGATTTACCCATTCCACCTCACTTTCACTGATTAGTTCCTTCTGTTGCAGAGGTTATCCAGACCCACTCTCTCCTCCTGCTGTACCACAGCTCTCTAATTATCTACTTGTTCCAACGAGCTCTTATCTCCTCAAGCTCCAGCATTACCTCATTCCAGGGCTGGTGTCTCTTCAGCACCCTCTGTGATGAGGATGCACTAATTCATCTCTAGCAGGAACAGTTTTTAACTCTCCAGAAGCAGCAAAACCCAGGCTCCCCTTTGGCCTCCCATCCTTTTAATCTTTGCTGGCCCCAGAAACCTCCTCCCTTCCAGCAGCACGCTCATTCCGGGGCAATGTTCAAAAGCAGACATTTGGAACACTAATTTTAAGCCTTCCTTTGACAAATGAAGGAGATATTCAGCGTTGTGGGTGTTTTCCTCCAGTGTTCCAGCTCCAAGTCCAGCGAGCTCTACTTCACCCCTCACGGTTCCCCGCAGAGTTTCCGTGGGGGGATTTTCCTCAGCACATCCCCGTCGGGGCTGTAGCAAAGCTCATCAAAGCACAGCTCTGAGCTGCTTATCACCCACAAGCACAGCAAAGCCAAAAAGTCTTTCTGCTTCTCGTGGTTTTCTTTGCCAGCCTAAATCAGCTCCTGATTCAGTGGGTTTGGAGCAGGCTAATGAACTAGTCATAATTACTCCAGCGAGCTTGATTCAGCCACAAGGTCCCACTATTATTAATGACTTGGACTGGAATTTAGGCCTGACAGCAACATTTCCCAAAGCCCACAGCTCATCTCAGCTCCCAGGGAAGTCAAGTGGACTCCAGTGAACAGCAAATGTGGGCTCAGAGATCTCTGTGCCCCCACACAATGAAATTATCAGTGTTTTCCCAATGAAGGGGAAATCAGGCAACTCAAGGAAACAGCACGGAGCCAGTGAAACTGAGATATCTTGAGAAACAATGCTAATGAATTCTTGAGAAACAGGGCTAATGAATTAACAAAACAACCCAGAGTATCTCCACATAAAAATTAAAGAGAGATGCTGAATCAGAAAGACACAAATCTGGAGGAAAATGAAGGTTAAGAGGTGTAGCCAGAGAAATACAGAAAGAACACAATCTGCAATTGCCATCTTCCATATTCCAGATGCTTCCAAATACTTAAATATGGAAACGATGAAATCTTCAAACCTGACCAAATGAGCCATATCACAACCATTCTGAAACCCAGACATTTTCTGCAGCAGGAATTTCCCGTTAACTTCCCACTTGG